AGAAATTAATATTGGGCCTAATACATTTTTACACACTACATTATTAACCTAGTTTCTTAAGGATTTTCAAGAATTAGGAGAGTGTATTTCAATCACACTATATTGGTCATGTCCATTTCCGAGGGCGCGTTTCAACCCGACTGGGATACAACAAACACAGTAATGATCGGAACATTATTAATATAAGCAGTTTGATACAATAACAATTGTTGAGGTGTGTACGTCTTTTACAAACCGTTGAAGAACGATTACAATGCTTCGTCGGCAACGGATATAACAAATATAGTGTGGTTGGAATACTGTTATTATACACTCTTCTACTTCTTGAAAATCCTTAAGGAACTAAGTTAATAATGTGGTGTGTAAAAATGTATTAGGCCTAATGTCTTATAACGAGCATTTCTGTGCTTCTGGCTTAGGCTAATTATCGCTCAGATTAACTGTGTATTTTAAGTTTCTTTAGTTTTTAATTTTCCTCGTTATCCCTAATAATAATTTCAAATTTGTTTGTAATGAGGCGACGAAATTATTAAGTGTGTAAGAAGTAAATTTATAAACTTGTTAACTATTTCACCTTTATTTAATGTTAATCAATCTGTGCCTAATGTTCTGGGAATTGAAATAAGGTGAACAACACTCCCTTAAGCTTTTTCAATATTATTTTTTAAGTCTACAAAATCTAAGATCCATAAAACGTGAGGGTCGTGGGTTTGACTCCCCGTCACCGAAAATATTCGCCATTCCAGCCTTGGGGACGTTATAACGTGACGGTCAATCCCACTATTCGTTGTTAAAAGAGTAGCCCAAGAATTGGCGGTGGATGGTGTTCTCTCTAGTCTATCACTGTTAAATTAAGAACGTCTGGCGCAGATAGCCTTGGTGTAGCTTTGCGCGAAATTCAAACCAAACAAACCTTTAATAAAATGTTTCTTGAGATTATGACAAACATCTGGCCATGAAATAATCCGAATTCAATACACTTTGTAACAATGTTGAAGATGTGCTGAGACATTATTGTGTAGCTGTAAAAGAAGAAAAGAAAAACATTATTCTGCAAAATTGGTGGTAGTGTCCAGGGTCATTGATCCGAAACTAGTCTGGCTCACAGACACACACCCGATGAAAGAATAGACCATTCCAAGCTTTTACTTGTTGTTAAGTTAAACAGATGTTTAAACAACTCTATTCAATTATGTACCAGCTGCCTAGTATCGGCTAACAATACGAAGAATTAAATTGTGGCGAAATGCTACAAGTTCTTGAAATACCTAGAGAATGATAGGTTTCTTTTTGTGAGTGTAAAACACTTAAATACACATTTTGATTAAAACTACGAATGATTTATTAACACTTTTTACTGACCCAATTATGATCTAAACGGGAGTTAAGAGCTTGTGTATCTTGGAAGTATGGAGTTTATGTGACAGCAGTACATCTATATAAATATAATAGTACTGTCTATTGTATGTCCATGTAACTAGTTCGCAGGGTGTGGATG